ACAGTGACCTGTAACGCCGTCCAGAGGGGAGGAGTTCAAACTGATTGTGTCCAGGGTGTAAGGAGTCAGCAGTGATCCTCTCCGCCCTCGTTCTGACCCGTGAGGTGTACAGGTCCTCCATGGAGGGCAGGCTCACACCAATGACCTTTTCTACAGCCCTGACTGTCCGCTGAAGTCTGTACTTGTCCTGTTTGGTTGCTGAGCCAAACCAGTGATGGAGGCGCAGAGAACAGACTCGATGATTCCTCTGTAGAACTGTATCAGCAGCTCCTGAGGCAGGTCGAACTTCCTGGGCTGGAGAAGGAAGTACATCCTCTGCTGTGCCTTCTTGGTGATGGTCCTGATGTTGGACGTCCACTTCAGGTCCTGGGAGATAGTGGAGCCCAGGAACTTGTAAGACTTTACTGCTGATACAGTGCTGCCAAGTATGATGAGGGGGGGTAAGGTGGGGGGGCTCTTCCTGAAGTCCACTGTCATCTCCACTGTTTTGAGTGTGTTCAGCTCCAGGTTGTTGTGGCTACACCACAGGACCAGCTGCTCAACCTCTCGCCTGTAGGCTGACTCGTCATCGTCTCGTATAAGACCAATGACCGTTGTATCATCAGCGAACTTTAGGAGCTTGACAGAGGGGTCCTTCGAGATGCAGTCGTTGGTGTAGAGTGAAAACAGCAGAGGGGAGAGCACACATCCCTGGGGGGCACCTGTGCTTATTGTCCAGGTGCTGGATGTGGTTTTCCCCAACCTCACCTGCTGCTTCCTGTCTGTCAGAAAGCTAGTAATCCACTGACAGGTGGGGGCAGGCACAGTGAGCTGGGTCAGTTTGGAGTGGAGGATGTCCGGGATGATGGTGTTGAACGCTGAGCTGAAGTCCACAAAGAGGACCCGTGCATAGGTCCCTGGGGAGTCGAGGTGTTGCAGGATGTAATGCAGTGTCATGTTCACTGCATCGTCCACTGACCTGTTTGCTCGGTAGGCAAACTGCAGGGGGTCCAGCAGGGGGTCTACGATGTCCTTCAGGTGGGCCAGCACCAGTCTTTCAAAGGACGTCATAACTACAGATGTCAGGGCGACAGGTCTGTAGTCGTTCAGTCCACTGATGGAGGGTTTCTTGGGGACTGCAATCATGGTGGAGCGTTTGAAGCAGGAGGGGGCTTCACACAGCTCCAGTGACCTGTTGAAGATAAGTGTGAAGATGGGGGCAAGCTGATCAGCACAGGCTTTCAGGCAGGAGGGGGTCACGCCATCCGGGCCTGGAGCGTTTCTGATCTTTAGTTGTTTTTTTTTAAAGGCCACGCACATCCTGTTCACAGATCGTTAGAGGTGGGGGGCTGGAGGGAAGGGTGGTGATTGTCTGGGGAGTGCCTGCTGGATCTGAGGTGGGGAGAGTGAAGGGGGAGTGTTGATTGTCAAACCTGCAGGGGGGGTTCTATAGCCAGTGATGCTTTTCAGGCTTCTCCACACAGATGAGGAGTTGTTGGCTGAAACCTGAGCTTTCAGCTTTCCAGAGTAGCTCCTCTTTGCTGCTCTGATCTCCCTTGTCAGTGTGTTCCTTGCCTGGCTCTACAGAGTCCTGTCCGCACTTCTGTAAGCCTCCTCTTTGGCACGACGAAGCTGCTTGTGTCTTGCTGTAAACCAGGGCTTGTTGTTGTTGTATTTGCAGAAGGACTTTTTTGGGCACACACACATCCTCACAAAAGCTGATATAAGATGTGACATTGTCAGTGAGTTCATCCAGGTCTGTAGCTGCAGTCTCAAATACACTCCAGTCTGTGCAGTCAAAGCAGGTCTGTAGCTCTGACTTAGCCTCCTCAGTCCAGCTCTTCACTGTTTTGACCACAGGCTTCACAGCTTTAAGTTTCTGCCTGTAGGTTGGAATAAGATGGACCATACAGTGATCAGAGAGTCCGAGGCCTGCATGGGGGACAGAGGAGGTCTCCTCCCAAACCGCTGGGTTATGATATGTTCCTCCCAGTTTGGCCTGATCAGAAGCTTCTCCATAAACATCCACCACATGTGAAACTTACCAGTCTACCCCCTTATTTGCCCCTTAATGCCCCCTAATGCCCACACTTCCTTTTTTGAATCAGGATGATCCATTCTTCAAAAATGCCATATCTTAAAACAGAAACCTTCAGTATTTGGCTTGGTTTAGCTTTAACACATTTACCTATGGTTGATATTTAAATAATAATAATAAATAGTTTATTTGTGTGTAGTCTTGAGTAAATGGGGGAGTTATTAAAGATTATTAAACTCCACTAACTAACCTTTCCTCTCTGTGGTCCTGCCGGTGTTGGAGCTCAGCACAGACTGATATTTGGTGTGACTGCACTTCAGATGTAATCCCTCAATGGATTTATCCTCTGAGATTATGGTGGCTGTGATGCTTCTAGGTACAAGTGTGATTGTAATACCAACAAAGAGCAGCGTCTGGGGGAGCGTTATTTATCACAGGGTATTATTTGTTATTATTCTGGGTATTAAGTTTATGCTTATGCTTGAATATCCAGCTGCCAACTGTGAGCTGTTCTCAGAAACAGAGACAGACAACGGAGAAGATAAAACCCAGAGGTTACACTAACAGAGCCACACGCTTCCTGTCTGGGCAGGTTTCTCTTCTAAAAGAAACTGTGTAGATGAAGAAAACAAAGTCTGATGAAACATGGCGTGATGTGGTAGAGATGGATTAAGTCTTACTCTACACATTGATGGCAACAAATGTGGTGAGAAAGATCAACTGCAGCCAAAAGGAACCGGAGCTCAGGTCCAGTCGAACTCTCAGCTAATGATGCTTGTCACCGCTTGGAAGGTAAATAAAACCACATGGCTGATGTGATGTGACTCTGTCAGTTCTATAGCTGCAGTGATGCAAACCAAAACATGACGATGTAAGAAAACAGTCCGAGTTTACACTCTTTCTCCCATGGATTCCACAACTACCTCACTTCAAACACAATGTGCACAACAAGTTACTGTGGAGGTTTGTCATCTGAACCAGGTACCTCCTGGAATAAAATACCTCCTGGTACTTTAATGTAGGTAAAGTGGAGGGAAACAAGTAACAACCAAGTACTTCAGAGGGAAGGAGAATTAAATGACACTCAGAGTAGTTTGGAAACACTGGGCATTGGCAGGGGAAAACTTAAGTACCATAATAAAAACAATAAACTTTATTTATAGGGCACCTTCCTGAAACCGGGCTTACAAAGTGCTGCACAGAGAATAAAAACACAACAGTATCAGTGAGGATATGTCAAACAATAAAAACTCTATAGGACAAAATAAAAATACAATTTAAAGGAGAATCTAAACACAAATATGATAAAAGATGAGCGAAAGGCCAGTTTATATGAAGCTCTGACTACAAACGTTCCATCTCCTTTGTGTTTCAGCCCAGACTCTGGACCGTGGGCCTCAGAGACCGGGTCGGCACATATGGGGGAACTTTACATCACTGGCCAAACTGGTCCCACACACAGCTGTCTCCAGTGTGGGTGTTGCTCACCAATTGGATTGGAGGAGTGAGGCCAATGTTTCTGTTCCACTTGTCTTCAAAGATTAAAAGACTTTTACTGCTGGGGTTGATGCCGAGGCAGTGGCCCATACGCATTTACAAAAGCATGTTGGGCCAGTTACTTTAAAGTAGTCAATTATCCACTGAAAAGTAATGGCTTTGCTTTACAAATTACTCATCAGCAAAAGTAATGTGTTACACTAGGTACAGGGTTAGAGGTTCAAGTTATGGGTCACTCAGCTGCTGCGCTCTAGGACACGAGGACGTGGGGGCTGAACCGTGGAGTCTCACCTATTCTGATGAATCCGTCTTCTGTCCGGTAGTACTTTGGTGTTTTCTCCCTCCCCTCTGCTAAAGCCTCTTTCTCTGCTTGAATATTCTGGAAAACACACAAACACAGGTATCTTATTGGAGTAGAATAAAAATGGATGCAAAGATGGGAAACAGAACCAGGTGACAAGGTTGTGATGCAGCAAGAAATCCCCATCAGTTACCAGAGGGAAGTCTGTGGTGGTCAATATTAAAACAAATCCAATTGACTTGAAATGTAATTTTCCACTTGTGTGTGCATGTGACACGATGTAAACTGATTTTTTGACCTTGGGCGAGAGGCGGGGTTTACAGTCTATCTTGTAAAGGTTTATAGATTGTGAATGAATACAGAAAACATACATTAATCTATTCCTGACGTTTTTTTTCCACTTAATTTAGTTTCTCCTATTAATCTTCCATATCCTCCTTCCCATGAGCCTTTGCTATTATCTCCCTCCTCCCTCTCATCCTGGTCAGAGTTACCATAGCAACTGCCTCCACCTTCCCAGCCCTCCCTCAGTCCCTCTGTGTGCCCAGTTTCCTTTAAGTGTCTGCAGATTTCTCATCTGTTTGTACCACAACGCCCCCCCCACCCACTGAGTCTGATCTCAACAGGAGCTCCTCTTCCTCTCAGTATCTCTCTCTGTCCTACTGTGACACTCGCTAAAGTCTTAATCAGCCTCTGTCTTACAGTCAACCACAGAGGAGGCAGAGATCCATCACCACAAGCAGAGCCTGTTATTCTTTGTTTTAAATGTTTAGTTTATCTGATCTACTTTTGATGCTTCTTGACTCGTCAGATGTCACCATGTTCCCACATGTCAGCTTTTAACTCGGTGGGTACAACGTTTTTATTACTGATAGAAATTATGGACAAAACTACACAGACAAGACCCAAGTTTTACAATTGCTTCCGAAACTAGACTGATGTGGATTTCAGGACTCACATCAAATGGCAGAACCTCCACTGATGTGTTGAAAAGTTTGTCTCCTGGATGTTCGATATTTCCACTCCGAAAGAAATACCTGAAGGAAGAAAGTAGTGGTGGTAAAGGAGGCACAACTAGTAGCTTTAGCAGCAGCAAAAACATCCTGCTGGTTCCCTTGTATGGACTTGGCACCATAGCTAGCACTCTCTCACTACCTTGAGTTGCCTGATGTGAAGTACCAGGAACCAGGGATCCCTAGTACTCTTTGGTAACTTTGAGTTCATGTAAGTCCCTGGTACTTGCTGATGCACTTTTTATCAGTAAGACCCTTTACCTCCTTGTGCAATCTTGCACCCCTGACACATAACCCACTGGTACCTCTTAGCACACTGTAACCCCCTCATGTTTTCTGGTGCCTCCTAGTACCTCCTGTTTATCCTGTAGTGCACTCTGTTTTCCTTGAAACTATAAAACTTGCTTGTACTCCCTGTAACACCCTGGGATTGTGTAGCACCCTAGAACATCTGATCCCCCTTTTTTCCAGTGTAACACACAGTGTAGCACATCTGGTACATCTGAAACCTTGTAATTCCTAGAACCTTTGGTAACCCTAACACCACACAATCCCCTAGTAGTCTGATAGTCTGTAATGTCCAGGTATCCTCTGGTACCCCTTACAATCTTTAACCTCAGGTAATTTCTGTTATCCCTAAGACCCTGCTACTTAGCACTCTTTGGTGTTCCTGAAACCAAGTTACCCTTAAGTATCCTACATTGTTAGTACGCTCTGAAGATTACATTTTGGTGCACCCAGAACTATGTAACCCCTATATACCCTCCATATCCCTGTATGTTTTGGTACCCCTCACATCTTTCAACCTGTAATACCCCGAAAATCTCAGAGATCCTGTAACTCCTTGCGAACTGTCTTCGAATAATTGTCCAACAGCTCCCAAAGAATATCAAATAGCATTATAGCTTGAAATGTCCATCCTCCCTTTCTGGTGCCACACAGACCCTGTTCCCTAAGGCATTAGACCTGTTAATTCCCTGGTACCAACCTTTCAATGCGCACAGGTGTGAAGAAGCGTATCCGTATGAAGTCCCCTGCTACAGGGGTGAAGGCCCAGAAGAAGTCCTCCCCCAGGTAGGCTTTCTCCAGAGTGAAGTGCTGGTAGGTCTTCAGGCTGGTTGTCACCTCTGCCAGTGGGTTGGCGTGGCCCTTATGCAGGGTCTGTTTCCCAAAGTCCTTATCCTGGAACAAAATTTTGTTGATTAAAAATTTTTTTCCAGCAATTTTGAAGCCGATTTCCATCTATAAGAAGATGATTCAGATATCAGGGAGCTGTGTTTTTAGGTTTTTTGTTGTCTGCCTGTCTGTACCTGTGGAGAGTCAGCAGAAATACTAAGATGACACCACAATGCAGTGACCTGACAATAATGTAAAGGTTAGACATTCCTGAGTGCCCACAGCCTTTCATGCAGACTAGTATCACTGCCAGTCTCGCTGGCTGTCCTCAATGGCTAATCCAGTTCTGGTTCAGTGCAGAGACACTAAGAAGCAGCAGAGGTCTGACAGCTATCTTTGTCATGCCGGTGCACGTTAAGAGATATGTATCTGTTTTCACATGCAACAGCATCACTGAGTAACTGACTGCAAACATCACCACCTAAAATCAAGCATTTTCTTTCAAGAGGTTGACCAGGGTGGATGTGACAAAGGGGCGATATCCTTGAACTAAACACTTGACTCGACACATCGGTGTCAGCACTGGGTGTCTGACATTTACTAGTTCTTCTGGCATTTTCTGACAACTAAATGATGTGTTTCATGGTGATTATATCTTTTAATTTAGTAAAATTTGGTATACTGCTCTGTAAAAATAATGTTTGAAAATACTGCATTCAAGATTTAACTTAAGTAAAAGTACAAACACAAAAACACCAAAATGTACTTAAAGTATTGCAGTAAAGGTACTGCAGTGATCATTTTGACTTTTCCAGAGTAGGCTCTCTCCCAAATCTCTTGACTTTTCTTTTATTAAATGATTACAGACAAATAAATCCCACTTCCACTTTGGTTCTTTCTATTTAAGCTTGAATTTTAAAACTCAGGGTTGATTTTCTTACTGCATTGTGGAAAACATTTCAGGCTGAGTGTAAGCACTGTGTTTAGCCTCCATCTCTACTGGGCTCCATGCAGACCAGACGCTGTGCTTATGTCCCTTCATCGACGAGCTGCTGAACAGGGACTGCCTGATCAATTTCCAGTTGATCGGACCAGATTGCAGTGGGGCGAATCTCCATCACTCTCACTACAGTAATCAGAGGCATTTAATCGAGGCGTTCTGCACTGAGCTGCAGGAGCCACCGCGATTGCAGAGCCGTTCGACCTTTATCTCCTCTAACCTGTTTCAGACTCGCTACGCTCTTTCACGCTGACAGCTGACTAGTGCATCCCCTCTGCTGCTCCTGAAAGCATCCTAAAATCCAAAACAGAAATCATTTCTGAAAACTAGCAGAAGACGAACTACAAAGCAGGGACCCATTATGCACAGTCAGGCAACCAGCAAGAGAAAGAATATAGCACTTTTTAAACTAATATATATAATATAGTATATTTAAACTCGAGGATGTAATTTACAGTGTTACTGTATGAATCAAGGCCAAATAAAATGTATTCTGCTTCCATCTAGTACTTAGTATGTAGGTATAGTGGTGGAAAACAAGACTGTGGAGAGAGAGGGAGCAAAAACTGGGCCTGTTTAGAGAAAAGAAATAAATGGTACTAGAAAATACCGGCCAGCCTTTGGAGCTGTTAGTTGGAAACACGTTCTCTGAGGAGGAAACCTGCCCCCCAACACAGCGGTGTGGCTCACTGGGGGGTTTTAATAGCCGGTGGACAACAGTGGAGGTCTACGGCACAAAGCAATGAGCTGGACCAGGACCTGGACTCACACACATTACGGTGAGGACGCCACATTCACTGGTGCTGCTGGTCTCTGGACGGGGTTGGTGGGTTTGTGGGGAATACCACAGACACACTTTCAGAGCTACACAAACAGACTCCAGTGACTGACTCAGAGGGTATTAGGTTAAGGTTCCCAGTATTTTTATCTCACCATTTTCATTTGATGTAATATTTATAATGATGTGTTACATTAAAAGCAACATGTTTGTTCTATGAAATGTTGAACAGAGAACAGCTGTTGCCAGCTGCTGTTGTCAGAGCAAGCTGTGGTTTTTCTTTTCCTCCTAGTCACATAAAAATAAGTCCAGTGAAAACAGGAGTTAGCGAAAGCACTCATGTAGCACCAGACCCCAAGAATAAATAACTTATTTTGATTTAAAACTACTCAAGAAAACTTTAAATTAAACATGAGAAGTGACTCAGGCACATAAATGTGTTAATCAGCTATTGAGTGCCCTTCGGTGTTGGCTGCTATCGTCACCCTGCTGTACCAAATTATTTACAGATGTGAACCGGCTCAGTACACACACTCATTCATTCATTACCTTGAGTTTCTGTATTTTTCCAGCCAGAGACGAGTGGGTGCCAACATGTTGGAAGAGAGATGGTTTGAACCGAATCCTCAGGTTGGCTTTCTGCCGGTCACAGTGTTTCTGAAGGGGAGATACACAAACACACGAGGTTACAGATACATCATCTGTTTAATGTCAGAGAGAAACTTTACTGAGCTGCTGGAAGAACATTTTTAATTCTTCGGGTTGTTGATCAGCTTGATTTTCTTTAAGCACAGTGAAAAGCAGGAAACTAAACTCAAAGTGCATATTACATTTGTCAGTTTAACGTATAATTACATTTTGGATTCATTTTTTCACTTTTCTGTGTCTGTTAAAATAGTATGACACCTCCAGGATGGTTCTAAACCAGGGCACAAGGAACATAAACCTTGCTACTAGTGCTGATGTCTGCTGAACAGAGGAGCATTCAGGTGTTTTAGTTTCTGCTACAGTTGATAAAATCAGGACCTACTCACCGCATCCTTCTCAGGATTGCACACCTTGACCCACATGATGTGGTCGAGTAGCCAGTCGATGGGTTTGTCCTTATAGAACATCAGCATGAACTCCACAATGAGTGACAGGTCCATGGACTTGAACATCTTACCTGAAGGAGAAGAGGGGAGTTGACTTAGATGATTTTATTTTATCTGGTCAGAAAACTGCCCTCCAGTTTTCTGTGTTTGGGTGGAGCCAACTTACGGGCCAAAACTGAGAAACTCAGACTAACCCAGGAGTAAAGTCATGTCCCAGATGAAAGGACATCCTGAATAAATCAGTGGAAATGTTCTGGAGACATTTCTAAAAAATCTATCTATATGTATCTATCTACAGCTTCTGAAACAGAGGAGGCTAGCCCCGTGGTACAGCTCGCAGCTCTGCCCCCTAAAGCAGGCATCACGAAAACTGGAAAGGAGGTGGCGCTCCACTAAGTCAGAAGAGTTTTTCATAGCCTGGAAAGATAGTTTAATAACATATAAGAAAGCCCTTCATAGTGCCAGAACCGCATTTTATTCATCACTGATTGAGGAAAATAAGAACAACCCCAGGTTTCTTTTCAGCACTGTAGCCAGGCTGACAAAGAGCCACAGTGCTGTTGAGCTTAACATTCCCTTAGATCTCAGCAGCAATGACTTCATGAGCTTCTTTACAAATAAAATCACAACTATTAGAGAAAAAATTGGTCGGACCACTCCCACAGCTCTCACAGATGTGCCATCTACTACAATGGCTTTAGAAACATCTGTAAGACCTCATTTATACTTGGACTACTTCTCCCCTATAGATCTCTCTGAGTTGACCTCAACAATTGCTTCATCTAAATCATCAACATGTCTCCTGGACCCCATCCCGACCAGGCTGCTCAAAGACGTCTTTCCCCTAATCAACACATCCATACTAGATCTGCTTAACCTCTCTCTATTAACAGGTTATGTTCCACAGGCTTTTAAGGTTGCAGTAATTAAACCTCTACTCAAAAAGCCTACTCTTGACCCAGGTGTCCTAGCTAATTATAGACCAATATCCAATCTTCCATTTATTTCCAAAATCCTTGAAAAAGCTGTTGCAAAGCAGTTATGTGACCACTTGCACAAGAATGATTTGTTTGCGGATTTTCAGTCAGGATTTAGAGTCCATCATAGTACAGAAACCGCATTGGTGAAAGTCACCAATGATCTTCTCCTAGCCTCAGACTAAGGACTTGTCTCCATACTTGTCCTCTTAGATCTCAGTGCTGCTTTTGACACCATTTATCACAGCATCTTACTGCAGAGACTTGAACATGTTATTGGGATTAAAGGAACTGCGCTAATTTGGTTCAAATCTTATTTATCTGAAAGATTTCAATTTGTTCATGTTAATGATGAATGTTCCACACAAACTGAAGTTAGTCACGGTGTTCCACAGGGCTCTGTGTTAGGTCCAATTCTCTTCACTTTATACATGCTCCCTTTTAGGCAATATTATCAGGAAGCACAACATAAATTTCCATTGCTATGCAGATGATACTCAGTTATATTTATCTATGAAGCCAAATGAATCAGGTCAGCTGGTCAAACTTCAAGCATGTCTTAAAGACATAAAGGCCTGGATGACCTGCACCTTCTTACTTCTAAACTCTGACAAAACTGAAGTTATTGTGCTTGGGCCTGAAAACCTTAGAAATCTGCTGTCTAATCATATAGTTACTTTAGATGACATAGCTCTTGCCTCCAGTACTACTGTGAGGAACCTTGGAGTCATCTTTGATCAGAATATGTCCTTTCAATCACACATAACTGCCAGCCAGGTGCTCTGATATCCCACTAGTGCCTGCTTGCAGAAAAAAATAAGAAATGTAATTAAAGCAGTTTTAACACATTTGCAAAATGGGAAGAGGATTTTCATCTTCTATCCAGACTCCTACACGTTTCCAGTTTTGGAAACCCACCTGCAAAGCTCATATATTTAACTTACAACCATGATTTTGTAGCATGGAAACCAGACAATCAAACCCAAAATCATGAAAACACTGAAACACAGCATGAATTACTCAAACCAAAGTAATACATTTTTCAAAAGGCAGCTAACTTTCCAACCACTTCAGCCTGTCTGCCTGTAATATTGACATGAATTCAGACACACTTGGGAAGTTTAAATACTTTAGCAGATACTTTTCTCTGTCATTCATTCAAACAAAACATGATGGACGTTGTCATTACAGAGGTGGCTGATGCTCTACTAATAACCTGGAAGTTCTACTCACAAATGGCCTGTCTGCACCTTCGGTTTTCACATAAGTACTTGTTCAGCTCCAGTTCCTGTTTAAACTCTATGTACATATCGCAAGCTGGCATAATATTAATCAGCCCTTACCTGCAATTACCTTGAAATCAACTGTGACGCCTTCTCAGCCTCAGACATTAACGCACCTGAGCAGCAGCCTGATTACATCTGCTGCTGGGCAGCACAAGCTAACACTACCCCAGCTAAAGAAATGGTCTTTAAAAAGTACAGCTTGTGATGGAGCTCTGTACAGGATTCTCTGATTTACTCCCACTAGTGACTCTCGTTCAGAACAACCTGATGACACACACACACTCACACTCTACAACACAGCTGGCACAGCTGGATACCTTCATTCATTATTATACAGTTAGGCCATTTGCAGCAGCAGCAGCAGATGAATGAATCTAAAGCACAGGCTCTTGTTGGGGGACTGTTTTCCACCAGAGAAACAAAAGGCATCAGTTAGGTATTTCCAAAGAGGAGTAATAGTCTGATCTCAGAAGCTAAGCAGGACAGAGCCTGGTTAGGACTTGGATGGGGATCACCAGGTACAGTAGCCACGCCCAGCCACTAGGGTTGCACACACTACTACACTCCATGATCAGGTGCCACGCCTGGACAAAAATGGAGGGTCGCGTCAGGAAGGGAGGCGGGTGTAAAACCTGAGCCATATCTCAGATGCAGTTCGGGTATATTTTGCCCCTACCAATGTTGACATCAAGCCTATATCCTGGGTTCCCAAAACACTTTTCTCAGATTAAAATCTTTACTGTGTATGCAGCAAAGTTAGTTTAAGTCTCATAAATGGTGACTATAGTTTTGTCTTTATGGCATCGTACTCCTTTGCCTTCTAACAATCCCAGCATTGATCTGGTGATGTACTGATGCCCAACTTTACACAACTGAATAAGTGTAAAAGTAATACTTGACTTCTTTTCTCGGAGCACCTGGTGTATTAGTGTTTGTTGGTACATGGATAGTGAGGCTGAGGTGCTCAGCTTTGTTTCCAGGAGCAGAAGGCCTGCTGTGTGGCTACACACAGTGTATCGCAGCTGTCACTGTTTTTCCTTTAGCACCTCTGTGTGTTCAGCTGTTAAGGGTAATTTGTGATATTGGGCTATGTAAATAATATTTGACTTGACTGTCAGTCACATGATCCCCTCTAGGAGAAAATGAATGAATGAATGAACTGATTAATTGCTTATTTGATGAATTAAAATGAGGCAGACACCTGAATAGCTCTGGCTTCATATCTGTTGGATTTTCAGTCTGGTTGTTTCTGTTGCCGTCTGAGCACAGAGCCGGCTGAGCTCAGGGAAGCTTCTCTGAGAAACAAAGGTCAAAAACTGAACCGAACAGACCATCTCCCTCTGGACTGAAACAATAAAGAGGGCAAATTAAAAGGCCAACACTGAGCTGAGCCATACTCCTGCCTCCTCCTGGTCCACCCTGATCGGTTTGACCGGCTGAACCTCCAGAGGGCCAGATGTTCGACAAGACAACAGAAAAAATGAAACGCCTGCAGATGTAAACGAGGCTGAGCAGAAGCTAAAGTTAGCAACTGCAAAACCCAGCTTTAAAGAGCTGAACTAGAGAGCAGCCCTGCAGCTCCGGAGCTCTCTCCTCCCTCTGATTTAATTCAGTGAGTCAGCTTCACAATGATGAATTTATTACAGCAGCCACTGCTCGCGGGCAACTCGGGGTCGGAGAGGATTCCTGAGGTCAAAGCCGAGGACCAGAGGGAGGACAGAGGGACAAGGGGAGGAAATTCTGATGCTCAGATAGTCTGGAGGGAGAAAAACACAGCATCCATGCAGCTCAGAGACTTGTGCTGCTCCATCCGCCGCCATCTTTCTGTAAATCTCTCCCTCTCTCTCCATCTGTTTCTGCATCTCTCTCCACCTCCTCTCCAACACATTCGAGCCTGACTTGCAGCAAGAGGCTTTGTGCTGCCAACATGCTGCAAGAACATCATACAAACAACTGAATATTGTGACTCATTAAGTTCATTCATTCAGACAAGTGAACATAATATCAGAAACATTACCAAGCTGCAGCTCCTCATTTGAGCCGCAGACTAACAACCCGGACTTCAGCACAAAAAGGAAAGCGAGGGGTAGAGTGATGCAGGAGAGGAGAGGGGTACACAACCATGTAAAGACAAGACCTCTGCTCTTTGTGTTGAGAGAGAGAGTGAGATGAAGAGTGGACGAGGTGTGAGTTAGTGCTCTTGTATCTGAGAGGGAGAAAATGTTCAGGCTTCAATTCTTCAAAACTTTGTTTGGTCATGACTTGATTTAATGGTTAAGGCTGGGGTCCATTTAAATTATGAACAGGACAATATAAATCCCTATAAAATCCCACAATGTGGGGACTTTTATTTTGGAGGACGCAGATAACATTTCAGTGTATCGTCTATTTGTCCTATACTTAAGGATTATGAGACTATGAGATCCCGAGTACAGACAAGTAAAAGGCCCTCCACCCCTCCAACACAGGAAGAGACCCCTGACTGTGTGTGTCTTTGCAGTTTGTGTCACCGGGTTTATCTTGAAAAGGAGAAGTGAGATTAACATTAACGTTTATTGGTCTCTGTGGACTCTTTAGTTCTTAAACATGTTTCTTCCAAGAAGACTTCAACTGGGAATATTTTCCAGCACAGTTTTCACTGATGTCATTAACAGTGACACAAAAGGCAGAATATTTGTGGGAGCCCCTCAGTTAAAAGAAAACACATAGATATGTAGCCTCACACCCCATTTAGCACTTATAAGAACTAAATCCACATGGAATACATGTTTATAACATACTATAATGTGGTTATAAGTAGATATTCAA